GGCGTCATGCTATGGTATAAATATTTTTTTGTTTTCCGATTAAATTGCAATTTTGGTCTTATTAGATCATAAATGTAGCAATTTATGTTTCACTGGAGAAACATGTATTTTTAAGTCTTGTAATTTGAAAATTTGTTGCAATTTCATATTGAAATTTGAATTAAAAGTTTTGCTGCAATTTTGACAGCCAAATGATTGAAATTGCACAAAAATTTCAAATTGTAAGATTTAAAAAGCTTATAAGAAATATATAAATAGAGACTTTTGATAGTCCAGATGATTGAAATTGAAGACTTAAATTGCTACACGTCACTTGAATATGACTTAAATTGCTACATTCATAATCTAATTGGACGAAAATTTACAATTTAGCCTTTTTGTTTAGTAGTAGGTTCGCAATTCGGTCCTCATTGTGTTTTGGTTTTTGCAATTTTGGTCCAATATTTTTTTTGTTTTTTTTTTTAATTTATTTTTTTTTTCCTGCAATTGTAGCCGTCTGAGTATAAAACTGGTGCAGGTTTGGTCACGAGCGGCTACTTCACTAATTTACAAATTGTTACAGCTAGATTTCTGGCACAATTATTTTTCATCTATTTTTGAATGGAGATCATTTAATGGGGAAATTTATGTTCCTGATGCTTAATTATACTCAGTCTTCTTCACTTTTATAATCTCGGGAAATGCTACGGTCCCATTACGAAACCATTCCGTTAGAGTTTATAGCTGTTAGATCATCATGTAACCGTCAGAGATAGTTGATGTAACCGTCAGAGATAGTTGATCTAACGGTTACAAACCCCAACAGAATGGTTCCATAACGAGATTGTAGCATCTTCCAATAATCTCGTCTTTTTACTTAATCAATTTAACATTTTGTTCACGAGTCAATTTTGATCTGAATCGCTACAACTTTCTTGTTGTTTTATCCCTAATTAGGATATGCATGTACACTTACTTACTGATTTATTTGATGATATATTATTTTTGTAATTTTTTTTTTCTCTTATGAATGGAACAGCTTGGAAAATTGGTACTACAGAATTCTTATCGTGATGACTGGAAATCTTAAAAACGCCGAAATTGCAGTTGATGCCTTGTCCATATGGTATGTATTATACACACACTCTTTATTACTCATCTTCTATATATACTATGTTGTATGTATGTGTTTTTTATTCGAATAAAAAATTCATATATAGCTTATTACTAAAAAGTAAAATAAAAATATGTTATCTTTTTTTTTTAATCAGATCAATCATCGAATCTATTATAAACAATTTAAAATATACCATTTAATAGTACAATTAAATATATATTGTTATTAAAAAGTATTAAAGGTATATATATGTATGGAGAGATGCTACGGTTCTGTTATAGAATCATTCCGTTGGGGTTTGTCACCGTTAGAATCAACTATCCACGACGAATACATGATGAACTAATGGTTACAAATCCTAATAGAATAATTCCGTAACGGGACCGTACTATTTCCCATATGTATATTTGCATCATTTAATCATAATAATTTCAATATTTGATGCAAACAACATTAAAAGAGACATGCAAAGTACAATTTATAAATACGTTTTGTTGGGAAATTATGGATATTAAATTGCCGTCCTCAACATGGCCACAAACTCTTGATTTATTTATAGCTTATTTTTATTATAAGTAATTTTTTTTTATTTTTTTTTTGGAACAATAGAATTATATGTAAAAGTTAATCTCGTCATTATCTGTTTGTCACATTTCTGTCTGTTGATGTGGACTTATATATAATTTGCTACTTTTTTTGTGGGCCAAATGAAAATTTTAATAATTATTGAGGACTGTCATTTTCATCTGTGTGGCCATTCTGCAGTAATAACAATATTGTTCAATTTGTTTATATCGTCATCATGAGTTTTTGTAAGATTTGGCTTTAAATAATTTTTGGTGGTTTGTGTGAATGTATATAAAATGCAGCATGAGCATCAATGGCTGGGAAATGATGATCCCTCTAGCATTTTTCGCGGGAACTGGGTAAACTTTCATCACTCTATCTTAATTAATTATTTAATTTCTGCATATTAATTTATAAGCTAAAATAAATGGAATTTCGTATCATCACAATAATTTAATAATATATTAGTTTTGCATTAGGAGAAGGAAAATTCATGATTTATCTTGGACTCCGGGGTAAAAATTTGGGTTTGATATGATTTAGGTCTAAACTAAAGGATACGATTTCGTTACGGGATTTGTAACTGTTAGATCAACAATCCCCGATGGTTATATGATGATCTAACAGTTACAAACCCCGACGGAATGGTTCTGTAACGAGACCGTAGTGTCAATGGTGTGGTCGAATATTGATTTGATTTAGGTTTGATTAATTTTTTTGTTAATCACAATGAATTTTGAAAACTGTGGTATGGTTAATTGTCAGTAAAATTTTGAATTTCCTATCCAATTTCTTGGATAAGTCCCGTCTATGGTGATGTCAAGTGATGGGCCCGCTAACATCATGTGAGCAGTAGAATAATGAATTAAAGTTGATATTTTGATGTGTAAACGCGATCAGTCGATATTATTTAATATATTGAAGATAATTAAACATGAGCTGAAAAGGTGGTTGAGTGAAGTTATTTATTGGTGTTTTCCAATCAAAATCATATTGGACGACACCACCGGAAATGTCATTATTTATTAGTGTTTCCCAATCAAATTCATATTCGATCACACCACCGAAAATGTCATAAAAATTGACGTCTCCAAAAGAATTTATTAAACTAAATATGAATTCATCTGTTATAATAATAATAATAATAATAATAATAATAATAATAATAATAATAATAATAATAATAAAACCAGTCCTCAATTATGTTTAACAATTTTTCACTATTTTGGTCTACCAACTTGTGTTAAATGACCCTTTTGACCTCTAATTTTCACAGAGTAAGGGTGGCAAATGAACTAGGAGCAGGTAACGGGAAAGGGGCAAAGTTTGCAACAATTGTGTCCGTGACAGAATCTATAGCTATTGGCCTAATATTTTGGGTGATCATAATATTTTCACACAATGAACTTGCCCTAATTTACACCTCAAGCCAAATTGTTCTTCAAGCTGTTAGCAAACTCTCTCTACTATTAGCTTTCACAGTTTTGCTCAACAGTGTTCAACCAATCCTTTCAGGTAATTTAAATTCGGCAAAGTTACAATTTTAGTCACGTTGGTTTGATCCAATGGCTTTGTTAGTCCTAAGAATTGAACATTTTTTGCTATTTGACCCTATGATTCTAAAATTCAACGAATTTGGAGCTAAAAATGCAACAGAATTTGACTTCAGGACTTACATTACTAATAAAAAAATTTTTAGATTGATTTTTTATTAGCAATTTAAATCCTGTAATTTTAAATTTTGTTGCAATTTCAGTCTCAAAGGATTGAAATTGCAGCAAAATACTAAACTACAGGATCAAAAGACAAAAAGTTAAAATCTTAGAACTAAAAATACCACGGCATTAAACCAGCAGACTAAAAAATGCAATTTTGCCTTTAAATTCTCTTACATTCTTAACAATTCCAAATTCTTTTATTTATTTTTCCTAAAGTAATGAATGAATTTTTTATTTATTTTTCTTTTTGTTTTGAAGGGGTGGCTGTGGGCTCTGGTTGGCAGTCATATGTGGCCTACATTAATCTTGGTTGCTACTATTTAATTGGTCTCCCTCTTGGGGTTTTGATGGGGTGGGTTTTTCACCAGGGAGTTATGGTATGGTCCTCTTTATTTAATTTTACTTTATAACGTTT